TCTATGAATCTATCTCCTGGACTGGCTGGGGCCCTACTCACCTGCCTCTGTCCCTGCCTCTACCCCACTCCCTCCCTCACTGTGAGGCCTCAATCTGCATTCTCTGCCACTTCCGTCCCCCACAGACTGACCTGCTGGGTGGAGGGGGGAGGCACGCATGCACTTAGCCCTCTATCAACTGTCAGAGGCTTCACAATCAACCAGTTGATTGGTGACTACTGGCCTAGAGGAAGGGGTCAAGGGGCATGTGGCTCAGGATGAAGATGGCAGATGCTGGGCCATCTGAGGAGGAGGGCTCAAGGAAATAGGTCCGAGAGACAGAGTCCATGCCAAGGGGCATGAAGATGAGGTTGAGCCAGGGCCAGGTAGGTTACCAGTAAGGTCACTGGTAGTTTACCAGTAAGGTCAACACCCCAGAAGGGTGGATGATATCAAAGTGGGGAGCCCAGAGAGGGCCCAGGAGCAAGGCCAGGAAGGTCAGAGACTGATCCTGGGTAAGACCTGAAACTGCACCCTACTGGGGCTGGTTAGCATAGTGGGGTTGCCTATGGCAGGGCAGCCTCCATGAAATGTCATGCATGGGCCACTCCAGGGAAAGGTGAGTATGGGATGTTGAAAAGCCTCAGCTCTCACTGCCTTGTGGGTTATGCTATGGAAGGAGAAGGCTAGGGGAGCACACACTGACAGAAAAGCACTGGGCCAGGGAAGACTGGGGCCTGGGAATAGAGTGCAAGATTGGATGGGTCTGAGGGCCTGGAGAGACCCAAAAAGGATCCAGGAGAAGAGACCAAAGGGGCTACCAGAGGGGCTGGGAGAGGGGCCAAGGAGCCTGGTAGCCCAGGAAATGGTTGTGTGAAACTAAGGGCCCAGCGAGGGCCTGGAGGAGAGACTCAGGGGTCTGACAACCCGAGAGGGGCTGAGGGGGAAACTGAGTGTCTTGCAGAGCAGAAAGGGGCTGTGTGGAAAGACCTAGAGGTCTGAGGGCCAGAGTGGGGCTGAGAGAGGCAGAGGTGTTGGAAGGCCCAGAGAGGGGCTGCATAAGCCACTGGTAGAACATCTGTGAGGATGCCCTGTGAGGCATGGTGTAGGGGAGGTACAGAGCCATACAGCTGGCCCATACGGCCTTGACCACAAATACAGGGGTCACTACAATAAGACCAAGGCAGCCTCCTGCACTCTTTATAACAACTAACATCAAGGTGTGGCAGACAAGAACTGGGCAGACTGCCCATGGCGCAGGCTTTACAAAAAATGTTTTTGGTACCCTGTGACAGTTTAATTCAAAGAAAAAGAAAATAAAAGAACCAGTAAAAATACCACAATGAAGAATATTTACAAATTATTACCATTCAGAATTCATTACCTCTGGGAACTAGAAGCAGAAATATTGCAAAAGGAAATTTTATTTCAACTAACTAAAAAATATATCAACAAACAATGTAAGTCTATTTTTGTCCCTTTTAACCAAAGTCTTAGTCATTGCTTGGCAGTGTTTTCATGAACATTGGTTGGGGCATTTATTTTTTATTTTAATCTGTCAGTTAGGCTAATTTTAAGAATTGATCATTTTGATTTTGGAAAATAAAATCTATTTAAAGTAAATTCTGATCTGTAATTTGTTGAGGCAGGGCATTTTATTAGCTGCCTCAAAACAGTGCATTTTTCCTCAAAACAACAAAAAAATAAACTTAACCTTTGACTACCACTTAAAAAAATTTATAGGGGAACAATGGGAAAAATTATGCAGACAGGCTTGTCCAGGGACAAGAGGAATAAAAACAAAACAAAAAAATCTACACACTACATGCAGCCTTCTTTATACAAAAATGTAAGTCAATTTAAAGTTGGGGTAAAGCTCAGACGCAACATAAAATGGACAATTAAGTGTGTTATTGAATGCCTCATTTTGATGGTTATTGAATGCCCCATTTCACTAAAACATGATTTCTGGTATACAAATACAGCTGTCAAACATGAGCCTTCAGGAAACAGAGACAATATACTTAGGTTCTACTAAAACAAACACACAGAGAGAGCATATTATCATGATTATTCCAAACAGGTTTAGTAATTACTAGTAAATTTTAAACTGCAACCATTTTCCAGTTTTACAAAAACAGAAGATGGAAACTGATGGTTTGGTAGGTGATTCTACAAGCTTTTGCTACCAGACTTAAATCCATTCTAGCTTCAGAAACTTTTTGCCAGTTGATGGCTGTTCAGTGTCTATATAAAATGAATGATAGCCGTAGTTAAGAAAATAACTGTAAAAGCAATTCAGTAGCGCTTAACATAAAGTTTGTCCAGTATCTTTGAAAATGTATCACATTGAACAATATAAGAAGGGCTGTTGCTGCGTGAAACCCATGAACGCCCAGGGAGACAGGGCTGTCCTTGCATGGGACCTAGGGAGCGCCCACGTTAATTGCCTGTGAGCCGTTAACATGAAGCCTGAACACTCTGGTACCTGCCTCTCTCTCTGCTGTGCGGGAGGTATGGGGGGAGAGGTGCTAGAGAAGTGTACATTTTTCTCCCACATTTTTACTTATGCGGCCTTGCCACTGGAAAAGAAAAGTAAAATAATCCATGGAATAATTTCACTTTGACATCATAATGGCATATATTGGTATTCTTTTGATATTGATTTGATATTGATACACTTGTAACATCTGTGCATACTCTTAAAGTGTATTTATTTCAAAACAAATTCAGGAATTACAGAACTGTCTGGCTTTTCTTGTTATGTGGCAGAATGTTCCCAAGATATATGGACAAGCTTGATGCATCTTGGAATTGTAATTTCTTTGTTTAAAATATGTGGATGGAACTCCAGGGAAGAAGCAACATTTCAAAAAGGTTCCAACTGTCTCAGGGCCGTCAAACACAGTGGGCACGTCTACATGAGACGTTTAGCGCAGAGCTGCCTAATTAGCTGTTCAGTAAATGTCTCCGTGTCTACAAGTGTGCCCCTATTAGGGCACACAAACCTGACAGACTCTGCAGCAGGCTAGTACTTGTAAATATAGCCATGAGAACTGGGATGTGAGGGCTCAAAAGGAGGTAGGGCTTGCAGGATGGTATAACCTAGGGGTGGGCAACTATTTTGCCTGGAGGGCCGCTTAATGAGTTTTGATAAGCTGTTGAGGGCCGCAAGGGTAGCCCTGCCCCTTGACAGGTGTCCCACTCCCTGGTCGCTATCTTGGAACCAGAAGTCCTGCCCCCACCCCTGACTTTTGCCACTGGAAGTCCTTCCCCTTGCCCCTAGAAGTACTCCTTTGGTGGGGGGGAGAGGGTATTAGTGAATGCAAGGTGTATTAGTGAAAATGTCTAGTACTAATAATAATCCAGTTTGGCCAGTAAGAAAAGCAGATGGAAAAACTTGGAGACTGACAATTGATTATGGGGCCTTGAATAAGGTAATGCCTATGAGAGCCCCCATTGCTGCTAAATTTCCAGAAGTGCATCAGTAGTGAGTGGGGCTAGGTATTTTTCAGTGCTGGACCTTTCAAATGTTTTTTTTTGCTATTCCCTTCATCCAGTTTCATGGTATAAATGTGCTTTTACCTTTAAGGAACAGCAGTACACCTTCACCAGAGTACCACAAGGATTCCACAATGTGCCAGCTATTTGTCACAATCATGTGACAAAAATGTGGGAAAAGTTGGATGCAACAGAGCAGCATCAGGTGTTCTCCTCTGTGAATGATGTCCTAATTACTGGCACATCAGAAGCAGATTGCAGGGAGTGAACAGGTACAGTGCTAAAAATCATAGAGCAGACAGGATTTAAGGTAAACCTTCAAGAGGGCGGGGGGCTTGCCATCTTGGAACTGGAAAAAAATCATATACTAAAAATGAAACGTCTACTATATTTTAATTTTATTTCAAAAAATATTTTTGTCCTGATTTGTGTGTGTTTGCATAGTGTACATAGAGGCAATTGGGGTGAGGTGGCTGCTTAGCAGCCAGGGCTACTATCCCAGTAGGTGCTGGTGCATCCTGTATGGAGGCAGCGGCTTTCCGACGCGCAGCTGCCGGCCCCAGGCCAGAGATAATTGTCTTTTAGGTTTTGGAGGGCCCCCGCAGGCTGGATGTCATCACCAGGTGGGCCGGATCCAGCCTGCAGGCCATATTTTGCCAGCCCGGGGTATAAACCCAGAGTGGGGGAGACTTGACTTGGAAGCAATTGCTTGAATTTGCATTAGTTAAGATACCAGAGGACTGGGTTGTAGCTACCTGCAAAGAGGGGTACGGCGGCACCCTGCAAAGAGCCTTGTAGGGGTTAGGGACCACGTAGGGGCTATGTGGCATGAGGACAGCCTAGCCTGTGTCAGCGACCCAGAAGGATCCCTGATGTAGGCCCAGGAGTGGCATGCAAGCAGCTTTGCTGAGCCCAGGACCCCAGGGGGCCAAGAAACAAAGGAGCAGCCTTGCCTGGGTCCAGCACCCTGGGGTGTGGAGGAGCCCAAAAAGTACGAGACTGTGGCCAGTGGGCGAGGAGTGTAAGGGGGCCGAGACCAGGGCCAGGGGGTGAAGCAGCCAAGGTCCAGGGCAGTGGGTTAAGACTGAGTGACTTAGGCATTGTATGTGCTGCAGCAACTGCCTCAAAAATTATCCTAGGTTTTGAGAAATCAGGGCTGGCAGACAGAGGCAATCTCTTTTACTAGACCAACAAGATTTTTGCCAATAAATAAATCAATCAATCTTTAATTGCAAGCTTTCGGGCACAAACAAATCCTCGGTTTTGAACACGTTTACTGTTATCGACTGCACGTTGACACGGGTTGAAGCTCTCCTACACCCAGCAGCATGACTGCCCCACAGGCACGACCTGCCCCTGCCCCGCCCCGAACGCAGCTCCCTCCCCACAGAGCGAGGGCAAGACTGCGCCTGCGCCTGCATCCCAGCATGCCGTGCGCGGGTGTCATGGCGGCGCCCTGAGGCCGGTGGCTGCACGTGTGTTGTGAGGGCAGCAGCGGCGCTGCTTCAGCCCCGAGGCAGGATGGAGCTGGCGCTGGAGCGGGCGATGCTGCGGGGGTTTCCGAGCCCGGTGGAGGCTCGGGGCTGGCAGCAGGGGGAAGCCGCGGTAGCAGGTGAGGGGGCCCGGGGCTCGGCGCAGCTGCTCTCTGGCGGCTGTCGGTGCCCGTGGGGGGCCCGCGGTCCCTGAGCTCGCCTCAAGCCGCCTAGCTTGGTTGGGGGTGGAGCCCGCGCTACTGCTGCTGCAGGAGTTGGGGCTTAAGGGCGGCGGGACCGAAGTGGTAGGTTGCCCCCCGGCAGCCCGGAGATCCCCGGGCACACTCGTGCTGATGCTTCTGGTTGAAGCCAGCCGAGGGCGGTGGCTTTGATTTTGGGCTCCGACTTGAGCCCGAAATCAGGCAGGAGGGAGTGCTCTGTCTGCGGGAGAAATGGGGACAAAACGCTGATCTCTGGAGAGGTGCTTTGCTCTGCTGCTGTACCCTGAAATCAGGCATTGGTCAGAGCAAGGTGGCCCCTTCCACACCGAGCGAGGACTTGTGGCAGCATCTGGTGAAGTAAACTCTTGTGGAAGGGAGCTGATGCCTCTCTGAACTTGTCAGTCTGCACAGTGCCCTTGCCCTGGTTTCTGCCGTATCTTGTGTTTGGGTGTTGCGCTGTGCATGTTTCCTGAGATCGGTTCTTATTGGGAAGACATGGGTTCTTATTGGGAAGTTTTGAGAAAGCCACTAGTGTCTTATTTTAGCTGAAGCTTAGTGGGATTTTAAATCTAATCTCTTCTTCTGCTGGTGTACCTTGAGCACATAAGTTCCCAAGGACCATGGTCATGTTCCCACTTGCTGAAATGTTTAGGATTCATAGAATGTAAAAAGACCTTTCGAGGTGGTTCCAGCACAGAGGCAGGCAATTATTTGGGCTGGAAGGCCACTTAATGACTTCTGGTGAGCTGTTGTGCAGAGGGGGCAATTGATCATATCTGGCCCTGGGGCTGTCTTCCCCGCACCCACTGCAAGGGGCATTGGATGGAGTGGGTAGGCGGATGGAGTCTCCATAGAGACCAGCCTGGGACCACTGCTGGCAGGGCCCGCTTGGCTCAGCAGATGGGATGGGGCTATGGGTGGGCTGGGAGCAGCAGCCAGGGCTGGGGTGGTGGGGAGAGTGCAGGTCTGGGGCCTGAGGCAGAGCTGTGATCTGCTCCCCGCACGTCCCTGTGACAGGCGGCAGTTCTGTGGGCAGGAACATGCGGGGAGTGGATTGTGGCTCTGCCCTGGGGAGTGCTCCAGCTCTGTGCAGCCACTGTCCCACAATCTCAGCCCCAGCCCGCTCCTGGATGTCACCCCCTGCCTGCCCACTCTTCTGTTCCATCCACCTGGCTGAATGCCCCCTGCTGTGGGGGTTTTGGGTCCATCTCCGTGGATTCTGCCTTGCACCTTCTGGCCCCACTGGTGGTGGGTGCGGGGCTGATGAGCAGGGGTGCCTGGGCAGCAGGGCTGAGTCTGGCAGCGGTGGTGACTGTGGAAACACCAGCTGGAAGGAGCCACTGCCACCATGGGGGTAGCTGGGAAGCTGAGTCTGGCTGCTGCACTGCCCCCAACCCGTTATGTATATTTTGCCCACCCCACTCCTGCAGGTGGTGAATTCACCCTTGTTCAGATGGTCTCACCTGCTTCTTTTAGGTTCCTGTCTGTATTTACCAGTGTAGTATCTGAGCACCATCTAGTAGTGTTTTTAAGCAATGTAATTAACATCTCTTGCATGATTTATTCTTTCACTTCTGGACAGTAAGAGCATTAATTATGTAGTGCCACGGTTTGATAGAGCATGTGTTGCTATCTTTCTGTCAGGTACCCCTGTCACTTGTGGCAAAAGGTAGTGAGCTTTCTCATAGTCCTTAGCTTTTGTGGAAAGTGTTCCCTTGCACCAGGTGAGCTTCATCCTTTTTGTAGAGAGTGCTGTTCTGTCTTCGGGGGTGGGCAGGAGTGAAGTTTCAACTGCTTAGCTATGCTGCGTCCAGCCTGCTGAAGACCTTAAATTTGACTTAGCATTGTTTAGAATGAAATACAGGTTTGATGTTCTTGCGGTTGTCTGTGTTGTTGAAGAGAGTGCATTAGCATTCTGTATTAGTTACATTATTGTAAGGGGCAATGGCTTCATGCCCAGTTATTACTTCCCATCTGGACTACAATATATACAGCTGAGGTCAGGCTGTCATTTGCCAGACACATTCTCAACCAACCAGAGATGTCAGAAAGTTCTACAAGGGGATGCTGCTGTGTAAGGCCTTTGTGTCAGCTCTGCTACCTGAGCTAGCTTGGATATGTCTACATACTTTGTAGTTACACCTTTGATGAAGGGTAAGTATCTTCTTGAGTTTGCTCAGGAGCAGAAAGTTTAGTTCTGGGCTATTGTCAGCCAGAACAGATGTAGCCAGCATGTATTGGTTGCAATATTGCATGTTGTAGGAGGAAGGGAAGACTCTCTTCCTGAACGAGGCACTGGCTAATTTGGCATGAGTGGCATCAGCTACTCTTGATGCTTAATAAGTTAGAAGGGCAGATGTATAGGTCCTGGACAAGATTCTTAGTATTTCTTGATACGTGAATATGCTTTGCTTCCTTTGTGCCTGCATTTCTGAAGATGAGTCAGGCTGTTCAAGAAGCCTTTCTATGTGTGCAGTTTGTTATAATTTTATTGAGGATGTATCGATTAAAGATTTTGTTGGCAGATTACTGATGGCCAATTATTGACCAGCCATATCAGCCATTACTGATCCGAAAGTCAATTTACAGGAATGCAGCCCAGCAGTTTGGAGAGCAGCCTCCTGCCAGTAAGTCTGTGGAGGGGAAGGGGCAGGGAGAAGGGAAGAGGTGTGGGGGGCAGATTGAGGCCTCCATAGTGAGAGAGGGAGTGGGGCAGGGGCAGGCGCTGCCCAGCCAGGGCAATGAATGCAACCCCGGGAGTGGGACGGAGCTGTGGGTGGATCGTCAGGTGGGGTGGGGGAGTGGCTTCCTGCCACCGCACACACCCTGATGGGAGGCATGGGGGGCATGTGCTCCCGTGGATTCGTGTGTGGGGCAAGAGTGGGCTGCCTGGTGTGGTCTCAGGGCCAGGAGCTGTGTCAGCCTATTCCCGGCAGGGGGTTTTGGCCAGGGCTGTGCCGGAAGAGACAGGCACAGCGCCTGGCCTTGAGCTTGCAGCGGGCAGCCTGCCCTTGCTATGCACACAAAACTGGGCCTCCCCCAGGGGTGTGCACGGTGGCGGGGAGACGCCTTCTCCCTACCCCCCATGCTCCCCAGGTGAGCCACCTGCAGCTCTGTCCCACTCCTAGGGTTGCATTCACCGCATTGGCTGGGCTGTGCCTGCCCCTGCCCTACTTGCTCCCTCACTGTGGGGGCCTTGATTTGCCCCCGCCACTCCCCTTCCCTGCCCTGCCCAGCTCCAACTTAACAGTAGAAGGCTGCTCTCCAAGCTGCTGGGCTGCATTTCTGGCTGTGTGCACACTGTGGCTGCGGGTGTGCATGCAGCATTTATCAGTGAGATCAGCTACACTGGCCAAAAAAAGCTGATTGCCAATAATATTAAGTTTCCTTTTATCGGTGCTGATCCAATATGTGACCGATATATCGGTGCATCTCTAAACTTTATGACGTGAGCAGGAAGTTTGCATTCAGAACAGGATTTTCAGAAGTGCCCAGTTTACCTTGTCTCTTGGAAGGAAACATGTTTCTTGTGGATGTTTTCAGCAGCTTCCTGGAAGGTCTCTGAGATTTGTGCTGCGCTGACTGGAGACTCATTCTTTGAACTTCTGTAGTTGTTGAATTCCATCTTTTCCCTTGTCAAAAAGGCATCTTGTGTTTTCCGAATAGATCTTTTAGCCTGTGAAATGGTGTTGTAATACAGTGCAACACAAAACGGTATCTTGGTGTTTTATCAATGCATTTAAGATACTTTTGGATTCAGAATTAGATTTTTGGTTATGTGACTTAAAACTTCCTACATAATTTTAATGTGTAATTAAAAAACACATAAGACTTCCAGGTCTGTCCCCCTAAACTTTGTTTTCCTTAATGATGTTATAAAAATATGACCGTCTTATGTGTTAACTATATAATTTAACTCCATATAGCAGTTATATTTTCAGTGTGAAAAGTTGGCATCAGTTCTGTAATATTAGTCTTGCACTACAAAATGAGACTGTTGGTGCTATTTAAAAAAAAAATTGACTTAAAAGTAAAAACATCCTTCTGGCCAGCTGATGAACTGTTTTTTCCAAAACATGGAAAACATTTTCATTCATAGATGACTTGTGCCTCCTGAGGCTGGGTGGGGGCATGGTGACCACTTGCAGGTGGTGACACAGGCATCGGCAAGGGCGGGTTGGGCAAGGACTGTCTGCAGGCGGCTGCGGCGGTGTTGGGTGGAGAGAGGGCCCCGTGGCCGGACGCTGAGCCTGGAAGTCCCAGCGGCACTTCTTGGGGTGGGCAGCAGCGCTCCCCCTGCCCATCGCCTAAGCTGAGAGCTTGCTCTCAGGAGGTGCATGTGCACCCCCATGTTTTCCCTTTGCTTAGCCTATGTTTTCACTTGAATAGCACTTGTGACAACTTTAAGTTACAGGAGAGAAATATGTAAAACTATATCACTGTTTGTTTGTTTGTCTTTTATATTTCAGAAAGTGGATGCTTATTGCAGTCTTTTTTGGAAGGGAATTATGAGGCCATTCTATTAAGCGAAGTGATCCAGGATGTTCTCAGTGCACCCACAGTGAGAGAGGAGAAGATTGACAGCTGCTTGGGGAAGGCAATTTTAGCATACCTGGACTCTTCCAGTGAAGATATTGATAACGTGGAAAGGTGGAAATGGTTGACTTTATTATGTATAAGACTAATAGAAGCTACTTAGAGCTAATAGACATCATTTAATCTTCTTTAATATTAGATTTGGAAGATGAACAGTTTTTGTTCCAAGAGGAGAAATAGCTAAACCAGGGGTTGTTAGTTGGGGTACACGTAACCCTGGGGGTTGTTTGAAAGGTCCCAGGGGGTATGTATGGGTGGGTGGGGATGGAGTGCTGCCATCCCGTGCTGTTGCCTCCCAGGGTGTGGTGAGACCAGGGCTGCACAGATGCTGCACTTCGGCCGCTCACCACGCCCCTGCTCGGCATCTGGCTGCTTGCCCCCTGTCCCTCCCCTGCTTGGCGTCCAGCTGCTTGCCATGTGCTCCCCTCCACCCCTCCCTCCTTGGTACACTTACTAAAAAGGGGGCTGCTAGGGGTGCAACCTTGTTAAAAAGGTTGAAAACCCCTGCTCTAAATGGATTTCCTAAGATTTATCAGTTGACTTGTTCCTTTTATAGAAAGGTGTGTGCCTCTGAATCTTAGAGGTGATAGTTGCTGGTGAAGCTGCTGGCATAAAGAGGCTAATCAGCTGCAGATTTATCTTCTCCTTTTTCCACAATTTATTATTTCTTGTAGCTTTGTGAACACTGTATTGTACTAATAACTGAAGTGCCATAAAGCATTATATAACAAAACATGATCTACATTTTAGTCCACTTTTTAATGAGAACATTTTATCTTTTGAAAGTGTAAAGTGACTGAGATACCATATTTATTTGCATACCATGTGTACCCCACCTTCCAAAAAAAAAAATCAGTGATAAAAAATCAGGGTGAATCTTTAATAAGAAAACTGATTTCTCATAACTATGATTGAACAGTTTGCTTTTTGACACATCAGGAGGTGACCTCATATCATTACTCTGTGTAGGCCAACTGTACTTACTGGTAGTATATCTACACTTGATACCCTATGTTTGCTGAGTCAGTCTTGTAGCATATATGAACATGTGACCACGAATGGAACAAAATGGTTTTATTATATATTTTATAGCTTGTTATAAATTACTCATTTTCAATTAAACACATAAATTTTTTTCCTTTGCTTTGCTTTCTCAGAACAAGGTGTGCACCTTATTTAGGGGTCTGTGGTATGTAAATAAATACGGTATTCACAGGAGAATTATTGGCTATGAGTAGTTATTTCCTTCATATGTCTTCGTACAAAGCACGCTTACTGCACTTCCACTTTGATGCGTTCGGTCTCTTTTCTATCACTAGATGTTAATGTCTGGCTTTAGTATTTATAGTTTATCAAGTAAATTGTGTTGAGTAAGGATTTTGGCATGCTTGGTGTGGATAGTTTTCTAGCCCCCACTACAAGTGGAAAGGATAAAACAATAATTACGTTGGAGGAAGGACAGGAGGAGGACCAAAGCAGAAACTGCAGTAAAGCAATTAAGTCTCACAAAGAAGTGCAGATACTTAAGATTATCTACATACATTAAGAGAAGTTTAAGAACAGAAGGTGGTATGGTTAGCATGTCAGCTACACACAGTAGCAAAAATTAGCAAGTGATGCTTAGAGAAGATTTGTCTGAGAATGCTATCAAAAAGACACGTCCACTAGCATAGTAAAAGGATTTCTTGGAAAGAGATCCTGAGTTATAAGAACACAAATACACTGTGGTGTGCTGTTTAGGTCACCAGCAGAATAATCAGAGATGGAAAAATCTGTGGAAGTTGTTTTAATGGATGGCTTTATCTAGGGGTGAACTGATTTAAAGATTTTCTTAGCTGATACCAATAACTGATGATTAACCAACCATATCAGCCAATGCTGATCCAATAACTGATATTTAGTAACAGTGCAAGGTATTTTAAGCTACTGACAGTAGTTTTTATTTAGAGTGCTGCAGAGCAACTCAGAACATCATATTGGGCATCCCACAGACCAGGAGCCACCTCCTGCCTGCTCCAGCCCTCAATGAGAAAGGCGGTGGCTACCATATTCCTATTCATGTCGCCCACTCATCCACAGCTCCTACCCACATCCCCGCCCCCTGTGCAGCCTGTGCTGCCGTTCCGTGTGGGTGGGGTCAACCTTTGTGCGGACAGCGGTGCTGGGTGTGTTTTGATCCCCAAGTATGCCGCTGGCTCAGTGCTGGTGGGCCCTGCACAACCGAGCTCCCACGGCCTCTTGGGAGAGGCCACTTCTGCAAAGGTGCCTGGTGCCTGGCAAAGTAAAACATCCCTTCTGCAGTGCTTTACCCTGCCTGTGCACAGCCCAACATCTCCATGGTAGCCTGGAGCTCAGGCCCTGCTGTGCATGTGGCATTGCTATAGCAGCAGCAGCGGGAGCTGGTAACGGTCACTTTGTTGCTGAGTGCTGTACCTGTGACCACTCCCTGGCGCCCCCTCCCGCTGCTTGCTGAGACCTGTAGTCTGCCTCAGGTTTGGGTTAGTGGCAGGGCATGGGGACCGGACTATGCTCACTGAGGTGCTCTAGGCACATGCCCATAATAGCTAGAATAACCAAAAAAAATGGCAGCTGATAATCGGGACTCATAGTAGAGATGATATCTTTTATTAGACCAACAAGATTTTTGCAAAAAAAAATTCTTTAATTGCAAGTGTTAGGGCACAGGCACCCTAGATTTTGTGCCTGAAAGCTTGCAGTTAAAGAATTTTTTTTGCAAAAATCTTGTTGGTCTAATAAAAGATATCATCTCTACTATGAGTCCCGATTATCAGCTGCCATTTTTTTTGGTTATTCTAGCTATTATGGGCATGTGCCTAGAGCACCTCAGTGAGCATAGTCCGGTCCCCATGCCCTGCCAC